TTTGGGCCAGGCCCAATTGATCTGGGCCTGGACCCAATTGGGTGTCTACAGAGAGATGAATTTTGTTTGATTTAAATAAAATAAAATATATATGGATTAAAAGATTTAGATAAAGTTAATCTTTGTAATTTTTAAAATTTAAAAAGTGATTAGATATGATTATTTGAAAAACAATGTAAATTTAAAAATTATTTATAGGATCCTATGTGTAAAAAATATAAATTATTCTCATAAATGTTTACTTGATAAACATATGCATATATCCTATGATATAATATATATTAGATTAGATTAAAAATTTATTCATAAAATTTTGGATTAAACTCATCTCTATTTAAATTAATTAATATTAATTGGATTAAAATTAATAATTATTAATTAATAAATTTTTAATATTTTTTATTTTTTAACAAACTCCATATATCAATTTATAAATGTTGATTTGAAAATTAAATTATTATTTATTTGATCGTTTAAAAAAAAAAAAAACTTTAACAACTTTACTTAAAGAAGCATTACTTAAATCTTACCTACTCAAACTGGGACATCATTAGGGTTGTCCAAATTCAAAGAAGGAAACTTCTTTGTAACTTGCGTATCTTGACAGCATAATAAATCTGTGCCCTCGTTCCTCGCTTTTTCCAACTTTGACTAATGCAATAGCCATGGAATTGGTAGTTCTCCCTTGTTTTCTCTGTACTTCAATACAAGCCCAAAAGTTCAATGCTATGTGATCCGATCATTATCTTTTACATCAAAAGTAATTGTTAATATTATTAGGGTCAATATGCAATTTAGTTTTTTGAATTATATCGCTTTTAACTATATTGTACATATAAAAAAAATCACGATTAAGTAACTAAATTTTGATTTGTTAAGTATTTTGCAATAAACATTAACTTTATAAACAGTAAGTTAATTTGGTTAAAAAATAATTAGTAATATTATGATATGTGATAAAAAAGTATCACATCATCTTTAATTTTTTTATACTTTTTGAACTTAAAAAAAAAAGGAAAATAAGAAAAAGTTAAAAAAAAAAAAGAAAAAGAGAGAAAGGGATCAAAGAGAAAGAGAAGGGTAGGGGGAGGGGGAAAGATGGTCATTTTCTAAAAATTTATAATTTTATAATTTTTAATTTCTAAAAATGTTTTTATTCGTTTTCTTTAAAAAATTAAAAACTATTTTTTAAAATGACATATGAATCATTTTTTTTTATATTTTAACTAACAATATTAATAAGTGGTGTAAAGTGTTTAACGAAAGCAAAATTGGGATACTTAATAGTAAATTTTTTAAATGTTAAATCATGAAAAGTGATATTATTCAAGATCAAATTGCATTTGAACTTTTATTATTATTTTTAAACCTCTATTGGTGCTTTTACTATTTGTCTTTTCCTTTTTTTTTTAAATTTTTTGTTATATTAATTATTCTTTTGAAGCACAACATTTTGAAAATAACTAGGACCAATTATGGGTAAATTTTGTTTTGTTTTGTTATCTCTATTTATCATATTTTTTTGTAAAATTTATTTAATTAAAAAACTTCCAAAAACAAGGAAAGATAAAAAAATAAACAAGAATGACATATGGATTCCTTAATTGACCTTTTTTTAAAAAAAAAGAAAATTATCCAATTGAAAAACAAAAAAAATTAAAAAAAGTAAAATATGATAAAATAAAAAAATGAGAAAAATAAAAAAAGCTCATAGCTAGTGCTACATTAACACCTCATATTGAGTTTAAAATATTAATTTCTTAAATTAAAAAAATAATAATTTTATTAATACAATAAATACATATATAAAATTAAATAAATAATAAATAAAAAATATATATATCTTGAAATAGGTTAAGACAAAGCAGATTAAATATGCTTCTGACCTGAATTTATTATTATTATTTTTTAAATTTTATCTGTTTCTTGTCAATCTCAATATAAAAAATCATCTTTCATTAGATCAAGATTGATTGAAACTTATTGGATATAAATTATTTTATAATTTTTATTGATTGATATATTTTATTATAAAATTTATTTAATTAAAAAAATATTAAAAAAAGTGAAAAAAAAAAAGAGATGCCTCGTCGACGCTTGTTGCATGTTGGCTAAAACAATAGACATCGATTTTGTTATTTCTTCATCAAGTCTAAGCTCTCTCCCACTCTACCCCTTTCTGTGTTGTACCTTCTATCAATTGGTTGCTTCTTTTACTTAAAGGTTATTGGTTGTAGTTCATGTCATAATTGGAAGAATGCCCCTTCAGGTTGAGATTGTGATGGGACTTGAGGAAGAGTTTGGAATTACCGTGGCAGAAGACAATGCCCAAAGCATCGCAACTGTTAAAGAAGAAGCAGATCATATTGGGAAACTCTACAGCGTGAAAGGTGCCTAGAAACATGGCCGAAGTTGGAGGTTCATATGCCATTGCCCATATTGACGTCACTTACCAGCCTGTATTTTCCAATCTTCTTGTGAACTCACGTCTATTTATTTGTTCATTCTAGAAAAACTCAAAGTTGTAGGGCTTTTTGGTTAAATTGTGAATTTAACTTTTTGTGCTGTAAGTCAAGCTAAAACTATTTGATTTGATCGTGTCGCTCTTTTAAATTGGTACTTGGTAGTGTTTAATTTTTTGTTTTGATAAGCCGCACATACAGTTATAGGGAAATGGGCAATGTAGCTTTTAGTTTCGGAGGGCTTAGGCCCTGAAAATGGTAACGCCCAAAACAAAAAGCTCAACATCTAGCTGACACGACAGGACTTGTTAAACCAAAAACTCAAATATTAGGTCAAGGTCTTGAATGACTTGGGGTGAATTTCATTGGGATGAGATAGTCTAAAATCTTACACTACACGACGGAGGTCGAAGTCTCATTGGGTTGAATAAGAAATGGGCACTTCATGTTGAATGCCTGATGTTCCCTTTTCAAGCAAGAAGAGTTCTTTTGTCCCGAAGGAGTCACCCAACAGTTATGAGATGATGGTTTCATTCCAAAGGATCCAATCACAAACAGATAGAACACAAACAAATAGTTAAAGCGCAAGTATTAGGCAAACAGATAAACAGGTCTGGTTCAAGACACATGATTGTCAAAGAAAGTAAAAGCTTTGAACAAACGGCGCCTTGCAGGGTTTGGCTGAATTTTCCAACACCATAAGAGCTATCCGCAGTGGTTTGATTTGAAGCCAAATGAGTTTTAGATCTTAAAATACAACTGAAAGTGAGTTCCTAGGTAGACAGAGGCATGTGTCACGAGCTCAAAGAAGAGTCTTGAATCTCACATCAAACATAATAAGAGGGTCCTTAGGGTATAAAAGGATTCACACCACTTTTTTATTGTGAGGCACTTTTTGTAAGATAAAACCGTGAGGCCAAGGGAGCCAGAGCGAACAATAACTCACAAGGGTGTAAATCATGACGGTTAGGTTGATCTGAGATATCGGATGAATAGATGCCCGGGTCTCGAAGCTGTACGAATTCGGAGCTTAAATCTCGACCCGTGACAAGTGGTATCAGAGCCAGCCCTAAACCATTCGATCCACGTCGAGCACCTTGAGGGAGGTAGGCAGGGTGGCCAGCCGTCGTGACGAGGGCGTCATGAGGTTGGGTGGGGGAGAATGTTACGGACCTAAAGAAGAGTCTTGAATCCCACATCGAACATAATAGGAGGGTCACTAGAGTATAAAAGGGTTCATACACTTCTTCTTTATGAGGTCCTTTTTGTAGGACAAAACTGTGAAGTCAAGGGGATCAGAGTGGATAATACCTCACAAGGGTGTGAACCGTGACGGTTAGATTGATCTGAGACATCGAATGAGTGGATGTCCGGGTCTCGAAATAGTGTCGAATGAGTGGATGTCTGGATCTCGAAGCCGCGCAGGTTCGAAGTTTAAATTTCAACCTATGACACATGCACCTAAGTATCTCAGTTTGACAGTAACTACAAAGAGAAACACAAGACAATATTGTAATTACATTCATCTTATAGAAGGCCCACAAGCTATGACTATTTCTATCACTTAGCTATAGTTAATTGTAACCTTTTAAAACGGATGATTATATTTTTATTTGCCTTTATGCATCCAAAAACAAAAGATAATTAGCAAAAAATCTAAATCAAACAGATCCTATAAGAGTAATAGTATATGAAAAAGTGTAGCAAAAATTGAAGGATTCTCATGAAATGTTGCTGATAACAAACAAGCTAAATAGATTGAATGAAATCGTCTCACCTGCTTGCACTTTTATTTTTTACCAAAGCACCCGGACCAATTTACCTATGATCATTTCAAAATCAATGCAAATGTTAGATATTTCAGGAAGATGGATGAATTGACTAGCACATATCATTTAGAGCAATTTTCTTATAATTCTGTATTCTGGAAAATTTAATATGAAAAAAGAAATCTCATAAGGGAAGAAAAAAGAATGAGAGATTGGTAACACCTTGAGCGCGGCTTGACGATATACTAATCTTCAATATGAACCTCTTGAACGTGTGCAATCTTGGACCAATCAGCACCAACCCCAGGTTGTCAATTTTGGCGTAGCGCAGGACATATTTGAATCTTTACTTGTCTAAGTGCAGTGAGGCGATTCAGTCCTTCGGGAACAAAGGATAATGCTAGACAACTTTCAAGCTCCAACCTGTTAAGTGATGTGAGATTTTGCATCCATTCCGGTAGTACCTTGAATTTGGGACATCTCTTTATTGGCATGGATTTAAAAAGGCTAGCTGATCCTTGAAGAAGCAACCGTGGCAAATCCTCCAACGCTTCTGCTTCCAATATTGTTAAAGTTTTGAAGGTCTTGGTCTTCTTCTCCTTGTTCCATTGACAAATTGATTTTTTGGCAACCATTGATATTGATTTCCTCTAATTTGGTTAGAAATTTCAGACTTCTTGGCAGTGAAATCAATCTAGAGCAGCTTTGGATATCCAATCTTCCAAGTGATGTGAGGAGTTGCATCCCATCAAATATAGATTCTATCATATCACAGTCGAACAAGCGCAACAACTGAAGCGAACTCTAACATCCTGGTTGAATATCCCTTAAAACCACAGAATCTGTGGCTATCTCTAGAAATCTGAGACTTAATCAAGCTTTGCAAACATTCAGGTACTTCAATCAGTGGAACGCCAGCTAACCGTAATGTCAGCAAGCTCTGAAGTTTACGGATAGAAGTAGGAAGTTTCCTCATTCTTCGATACCTGGATAAGTTAAGATATCTTAAATGCTTCCAGGTGCCAACGGAATTGGGCAATACATCCCAAGATGAAGAGGAGAGATCAAGTAGCCGAAGGAACTCGAAATTCAAGATAGAAGCATTTACAAAATGTTCCTCAATTATCCTATTTCTTCCTGAAGAAGGTAAGATCACCAATGTCCGCACAACTTTTAAATTCTTCGAAAATGATTGTGGAGCTCCCAATGGATTATCATTCGAAAATAACAGATGTCGAGTATTTTTAGCAGCATTTACCGTATGAGGATAAATTGTTAAGCAGTCATCTTGAGACATATTTGACAAGAGATCATGCATTAGGCCATGGATTTTAAATGTGTAAAATGGATGTTTATCCTCGACATCTTGGACAGAACCCCTCAACCATAATTCTTTGAAATATCGTAACCCAACATCTTCTCACTCTTCGTTTTGCTTAGGGCTTTCAATAAGTCCAATGGCCATCCAGAATTGGACGATATAATCAGTATCATAAATAATGTCCTTTGGAAACAATGACAAATAAGTTAAGACCTTTGCAAATGAGATGGCAAATGACTATAACTCAATTTCAGCATAGGTAGGATGCCATTTTCATTTTGATTAAGTTTCCATATGTCATTATCTTTTATAAATTCCCATTCATGAAGCTCAGTTTTCATGTAGAGTAAGCTCCCTAAAGTTCTCATTGCCAATGGAACCCCTTTGGATTTTTTCACAATTTCGTCACCAATTCTCATAAGGTTTCGGTAAACTTTCTCATCCCCTTCCTGAAATGCCCGTTTTACAAAGACAGACAGTCTTTGTGGCTAAGACCATTCAAGTTGTATGGAGCAATAGTACTCACGGTCGAAGCAACTTTTGAACTTCGTGCAGTCACAATAATTTTACTTTGTTGAAAGTTACCCATCGTCATCAGTAAATCTCTCAGTTCCATCCATTTTACATGATCTTTGTTCCATACATCATCTAAAGCAAGCAAAAAAGTTTTACCATTTAAAAGCATTCGCAAATGAGTTTGCAATGCATTAACTGGCAAGCCATTACATCTTTCCTCCGTAATGGAGTAAATAATATCACAGAGCAACCTAGCAAGACCAAACTCATCTAACACGTACACCCATATTTTCAAGGGAAAGACCTTAGTGATCCTTTCATCGTTGTACACAAGTTGAGCAAGTGTGGTTTTCCTTAAACCTCCGATTCCAACTATAGGGATGACGGGGATTTTTTCAAAAACGGTTGGCTTGACTAAAACATCTATGATGTTTTCTTTGGCTTGATTTCGACCTATCACATTAGAAGGTATAACAAAGGAGTGGGCATCTCTAAGACTAACATGTCGGTTCTGAACTTTCTCTTCAAGTCCAAGATTAAATTTTTTGAAATCACTAGCAATCGTATCTAGCTTTTCGTTGATTCTTTTGATTTTATGACTTATCCTTAAAGGGAATGCAAATGGAATAGAGAGGGCAGGGAATTGTACCAATTTGGTGGTGGTGCTTCCACGATTGATCAACTCCTTTTACAGCGCTTCACACCTGAATTTATCAAGCACATCTTTAGCATCATATAAGACGTCTCTAAGCTTCCCCAAACTAAGGCGAAACATCTTATTTGTTGGACGTAAAGCAACAAATACAACATAGCAGAAGTAATATATTATAATATATCGCAATAGATTCACAATAATAAACAATAATCAACAATCAACAACATAAGAAAAATAAAACACATTAAGATTTATATGAAAAACCTTTCAGTAAAAAGAGAAAAAATCACAAATCATTAGAAAAATCTTTACTATTAAATAATGAATATACAAAGTTTTTTTTTAGCTAAAATTAGAGCTAGTCAATAACTAGAAAGATAATTGGAGAAATCTCATCAAATCGGTGACTCAACAAATATTCCTTGGATTTGTTCTTAAAAAGCTTCAAACCTGATTTTCACTGTTTAGAATGTGAAACTCTGAATTGCAAACCTGTTGACAAAGTTTCAACTCAATCAAACCATAGATTGATTCTGTTTAATTAACTCTCCTTTCTCTCTTTTCTCTTTATTTTTTTGGCTTTTCTTTTTTGTATTTGACACTTAACCTTCTGTTTCTTACCAAAAAATGCAACTTTTTTTTTCTTTTATTACCTAAGGCTCTCTTAGGGTAGCTTAAAACACATAAGGCCCATGGCCTTTGAATGGTTAAGACTAATATCATGGGGTTGGATCCCACATATTCCTAACAATCTCTTTATTTAACCCCATTATGAGGAGATTCATCATCATAGCAATTTCATTTGAAACTTACCTTAGCCAAGAAATCCATTCTGGCCAAGTTACTACAGAGCTTAAGCTTTTTTCTAGGAAGTATCTTAGTCAATATATCTACTACATTCACATCAATATGATTTTTCTCAATAGCATCCGCTGTTCTTCAATTATCGAAAATAACCAATGACATCTAACAATCAATGTGCTTTGATTTAGTATGGTACATAGCATTCTTACTCAAATCTGAAGCATTTGGCTATCACAAAATACCATATACTCTTTTTGATTCAACCTCAATTTAAGAAAAAAATGTTTCATCCAAAGTATTTCTTTACCTGCTTTGATTATTGTAATATACTCAGCCTCTGTAGTTGATAAGGTAACACACTTTTACAACTTAGACTATCAAGATAGCTTTTCCTACAAAAGTGAACAAATATTTTAAAGTAGATTTTCTACCATCAAGATCATCGTCAAGTTAGCATTAGTAAACCCTTCTAGAATTGATTGTGAAATTCTGTAACTCAAGCATATTTTTGAGGTGCCCTTTAAATATCTAAAAATTCATTTCACTACTTCTCAGTGAACCTTCCTAAATTAGAAAGAAATCTGCTCATTACACCAACTGCATAAGCAATGTTAGGTTATATGCAAACCATAAGATACATCAAGAAATCGACTACAGAAGAATAAGAAATACTAGACATAGCTAGTTACTCTTCCTTAGTCACCATATAAGATTTTTTACTCGAATGAAAATCTTTGGCAAGTGGACTACTAATTAATTTAGCATGTTACATATTGAATCTACTAAGCACTCGTTCAACATATTTTTCTGTGACAACCATAATTTTTTAGCTCTCCTATCTTGGATAATATTCATACCGAGAATCTGCCTTGTTGGATTTAAATCTTTCATGTTAAAAGACTTAGATAATTGTTCTTCCAATTTATGAACCATACTAGCATCTTGTCCCATAATCAACATATCATCAACATATAATAAGAGAATAATTAAGTTACCATCAAAATTTTTTTGACGTACTCATAAAAATTTGTTACTTTTTTTTTATAACTTTTGCTCACCATAAAAGAATAAAATTTTTTATACCACTATCATGGAGCTTATTTCAAGCTATACAAACTTTTTTTCAATTTGCAAACTAAGTACTTTTTCCTTTTCACTTCAAAATTCTTAGGCTAATCCATATAAATATCCTCTTGCAAGTCACTATGCAAGAATGCAGTCTTGACATCAAGTTGCTCAAGCTCAAGATTCAAACTAGCTACTAATTCTAGTATCACTCGAATAGAACTCATCTTTACAACTGGAGAGAAGATCTCATTAAAATCAATGTCAGGTTTTTGACAAAAATCTTTTACCACCAATCGAGCTTTATACCTCATTAACTTATCATCCTCTTTTTTCAACTTGAATACCCATTTATTATTCAACGACTTATTTCCTTTCTATAGTTTAACAAGATCATATGTACCATTTTTTTACAATGACTCTATCTTTTATTTCATTGCTTTTAACCAATGCTATTTATCCGAAGTAGTTTGCATATCTTGAAAGCTTTCTGGCTTTCTTTCATTGATAATTAAAATAAAATTTAAACTTGGATACCCTAGTGGATGGTTTGTGCTATCTAATAGATCTTTTAGGCTGAGACTTTGCACTACCGATGTTGAAGGTAGCTCTCTCTACTTAACACTCTTTGATGGATAGGACTGTTCACCATGCTCAACACTCTCAGGTAAAGAAAATTACTCCTCTTATTCAAAATTTATTGCATCTAACTCATCACTAACTTTGTCTAACTTATTCATATCCTCAAGTTTTTTTTTATTGCTTATTTTCACTATCTGTGGCTTTTTTTGTGGAACCCTTGTTGATGTTAAAACATCACATTCAACAACAACTTGAGTAGTCTTTTTATTTTTCTCAAGATCTACTATAATTTCTTTTATGAGAGATCACATCTTTACTTTTGACTATCTTTATCTTCATTGGATCCATACTTTGTAGCTAAATTTTTTATCACCATATCTTACAAACACACACTACGTGTTTTTATTGTCAAACTTTGACCTCTATTTTTTTAGCACATGTATAAATGCTTTACACCTAAAAACTTTTAAGTAAGAGCATGAAGCATTTTTTCCTATCCATATATTTTTTTAAAATATCAAAGCCCAAAGGAACTGATGGTGATCTGTTAAAAAAATAATAAGTTGTATTGGTTGTTTCACCCTAAAATGACTTTGGTAATTTTGTTATTCTTAACATATATTTGACTTTTTCTATAATGATGTAGTTTATCCTTTTAGCTATACCATTATGCTATGGTGTTTCAGGTTCTGTCATTTCATATTTGATCCCATACTTTGAACAAGACTTTTCAAAGTTTTTGGATGTGTATTTCTCACCATTATCAGTTTAAATATACTTCAAAGGCATCTTTATCATCCTTTTAACCATAGTATGAAAATTTTAAAAATACTACAATACCTAATTTTTATTTTTCAACATATACATTTAAGTCTTGCATTAAGCATCATAAATAAAAGTAACAAAATACCTACTATCACCCAATGACTCAACCTCGATGGGACTATATATGTCAGAATGAATCAATTCTAATATATTTTCTTTTCTTTGAGAACTCTTATGAAAAAAAATTCTACAATACTTGTCAAATAGATAATGATCATATAAATTAAGAGATATACTTTTGGTTAAGATAATAAATGATTGCCTTGCGAATAGCTATAACCCCTTCTTGCTTATGTGTGCTAGCCTCTTGTGCCACAAGTTTGTTGAAGTATCATTCTTAATGGCATTTATCTAGTTGCCTTTCAATTGCATCTATATCTTGTATATTGTGTAGCATAATTTTTTTCTTGCAACTACCATAGATCTTTTAAGAAGCTCTACTATCCATTCTTTTGTTAACTCTAATAACGTTCCTTATCAATGACATTAATAACAAGCAAGTTCATTTTTATATCTAAAATGTGTCTGACATCCCTTAAAGTTAATATGTAGCTTGTACTAATTTATATAATAATATCACTAATTATAATAATCTGTGATACACTCTTATTTTTCATTTTGGTGTAACCAAAGTCTTATGCTTTGTAAGTTATAAATAACTTTTTCTTAGGAACACAATGATGTGTCGCTCTTATGTTAACTATTCACTTAATGTTAGGATCACCAACATGATTATAATTATTATGTGTACAAATTAAAGTAACTGAATTATTATTTGAATTCGCTAATGTAACATTGTCATCATCTGAACTCATATCTTTCTGATCTTTTCACTCTTGCATTAAGATTTTGTAGTATTACTTTATATGACCTGTTTTACTATAATGAAAGCACTTCATTTTATCTCTGAACTTGGATTTATGTTTAGATTTACTATGACCTTTTAAGTTTTGACTTTTGTTAATGTTTCTACCCTTGTTCTTTGTGACATGAGCTTGATTCTCAGGGTCTAAATCTTTTTACCTTACTTCTTCATCAAGCATACTATCTTTTATCATCTTTAATATTACATTGTAATCAGGAGCTAAATTAAAAATAATCACAACTAGAGTATTTTAGCTATCTAGCAATAAACCTAAAAAAAATAACACATTCATTTCATCATTTATCTTAAGCTCCATATTAGTCATCAAATTAAATATATCTTGAAAATTATTCAAGTGCTCTGTAATCGATCATTCATCCATGTACTGTAAAGTTACTAGCTTTTTAATAAGTATAACTTTATTCATACTTATTTTTCTTTCATAGAATGTCAATTTTTTTCAAATAGTGTAAACATCTATTTTTTATGCTACATGATGGAACACGTTGATATCAATCCATTTTTTGATTGTAGCTAGTGTCTTTTTATATGGCTTCTTTCAGCTTTCATTTTTCATATCTGTTGGTTTAGTCGAATCACCTAATATTGACTCATATAAATCTTTACAGTATAAATAATTTTTCATTATAGGCTTTCAAGTTAAATAATTTAATGCTATCAATTTTATCATAGAATCTGTATCAATCTTCATGATCTCATATAAAATTTATTTTTATCATTTGTTATTTTTGTATCAATATTTCAAAATAACCCTTACTCTAATATCACTTTTTTGATCGGTTAAAAAGTTGGGGCAGGCCTTTTTAATTTAAAATTAATAATCATTAAAACTCCAAAAACCTGTAAAAACAAACAATGAGAATCTAGTCCTGTAACTGGAACTGAAACTCAACGCAGTCTCTCTCTTTTCTCTTTATCCTCCTTCATCTCCACCCATTTGCTCTGTATCCGTCGCAACTCAGCAAAGATTCTTCGTAGGCACAACACCATCTTCCTCAATAAACTCAGGCACTTTCTTTTCCAAAGATTCTTCCATTTTTTTTTTTTTTTTGGTTTTCTTTCTGTTTCATTTTCATGAATTTTATTTTGTTTTGGTTTTGAACAGTTTTCATCGGTTTCACGAGATGGCAACAGAGGGAGGCAAGAGCTATGCCAGGAGAGACAAACTCCTGGAAATCGAGTCAAAGGTTAGAGTTTGGTGGGAAGAAAAAGATGTGTTTAAAGCTGAACCCAATGAAAAACCACCTCAACCAGGTGAAAAATTCTTTGGGAACTTTCCTTTTCCTTATATGAATGGTCTTTTACATCTGGGCCATGCCTTTTCGCTTTCGAAACTCGAGTTTGCTGCTGCTTATCATAGATTAAGAGGTGCCAATGTGTTATTGCCTTTTGCTTTTCACTGTACCGGTATGCCAATCAAGGCTTCAGCTGATAAACTTGCTAGGGAAATCAAACAATTTGGTGATCCACCCATTTTTCCTCATGAGGAAGTAGATGAGGAACCTAACCCAACAGAAGAATCTGACCCAAATGAAGATGCCAATGTGGCGCCTGATAAGTTTAAAGGTAAAAAGTCTAAGGCGGCATCTAAATCTAGCGGACAGATGTTTCAGTGGGAAATTATGAGGAGTTTTGGACTTTCAGATAGTGAGATATCAAAGTTTCAGAACCCGTATGAATGGTTGAAGTTCTTTCCGCCATTGGCTGTTCAAGACCTCAAGGCTTTTGGATTAGGTTGTGATTGGAGAAGGTCATTTGTGACCACAGATATGAATCCGTTTTTTGATTCGTTTGTTAAGTGGCAGATGAGGAAGTTGAAATCGATGGGTAAGATTGTTAAAGATATGAGGTATACTATATATTCTCCATTGGATGGTCAGCCATGTGCTGATCATGATAGGGCAACTGGTGAAGGAGTTCAGCCTCAAGAGTATACTATTATTAAAATGGAAGTGGTGCCACCTTTTCCAGCTAAAATGCGTGTTTTGGAAGGGAAAAAAGTGTTTTTGGCTGCTGCAACATTGAGGCCTGAGACCATGTATGGGCAAACAAACTGCTGGGTTTTGCCTAATGGGAAATACGGAGCCTTTGAAATCAATGAAACTGAGATATTTATTCTGACTGAGAGAGCAGCACTCAACCTTGCTTATCAGAAGCTCTCCCGCGTCCCTGAAAAACCTACTTGCTTGGTTGAACTGACTGGTTATGATCTGATTGGTCTTCCTGTAAAATCTCCTCTCTCATTTAATGAGATCATATATGCTCTTCCAATGATGACAATTCTAACGGACAAAGGTACAGGGATCGTGACCAGTGTTCCCAGCGATGCTCCTGATGATTATATGGCCTTACATGATTTGAAAGCAAAACCCGCTTTTCGGGAAAAGTTTGGGGTGAAGGATGAATGGGTATTGCCATTTGAGATTATACCCATCATTGACATCCCAGAATTTGGAGACAGGGCAGCTGAAAAAGTTTGTGTGGATCTGAAAATCAAAAGTCAGAATGAGAAAGAAAAGCTTGCTGAGGCGAAGAGGTTGGTGTACTTGAGAGGTTTTACAGAGGGAACCATGACTGTTGGAGAGTATGCAGGAAGAAGAGTCCATGAAGCTAAGGCACTGATAAGGACCAAACTGATTGAGACGGGCCAGGCAATAATTTATAGTGAGCCTGAGAAGAAGGTTATGTCAAGGTCTGGTGATGAGTGTGTTGTGGCTCTTACAGATCAATGGTACATCACATATGGTGAACCGGAATGGAAACAACTAGCTGAGGAGTGCTTATCCAACATGAATCTATACTCTGATGAGACACGACATGGCTTTGAACATACTTTAGGATGGTTGAACCAATGGGCTTGCTCACGATCCTTTGGGCTTGGGACTCGCATTCCTTGGGATGCAGAATTCCTTGTTGAGTCATTATCCGACTCAACCATTTACATGGCTTATTACACAGTTGCTCATCTTTTACAAAATGGGGACATGTACGGAAAAAGTGCTGATCTGGTTAAACCTGCCCAGATGACTGATGAGGTCTGGGAATTTCTCTTCTGTGGTGGTCAGTATCCCAAATCTTCTGATATCCCATCCTCTGTTCTTAACAAGATGAAGCAGGAGTTTGAGTACTGGTATCCATTTGATCTTAGGGTTTCTGGAAAAGACCTTATCCAGAACCATTTAACATTTTGCATCTACAATCACACAGCAATCATGTCCAAGGATCACTGGCCTTGTGGATTCAGGTGCAATGGACATATTATGCTTAATTCAGAGAAGATGTCCAAGTCTACTGGAAATTTCAGGACACTGCATCAGGCAATTGAGGAATTCTCTGCTGATGCTACAAGATTCTCTCTGGCTGATGCTGGGGATGGTGTAGATGATGCAAACTTTGTGTTTGAGACTGCCAATGCTGCAATCTTACGGCTTACAAAAGAGATTGCATGGATGGAAGAGATTCTGGCTGCAGAATCGTCTTTGAGGACAGGTCCCCCATCTACCTATGCTGATCGGGTGTTTGAAAATGAGATAAACATTGCTGTCAAAATGACTGAGCAGAATTATAGGGATTACATGTTTCGGGAGGCTCTCAAGACTGGCTTTTATGATCTTCAAGCTGCCAGGGATGAGTATAGGTTCTCTTGTGGCAGTGGGGGCATGAACCGTGACCTTGTATGGCGGTTTATGGATGTGCAGACTAGGCTTATCACTCCAATCTGCCCTCACTATGCGGAGTTTGTTTGGAGAGAGCTTTTGAAGAAGGATGGCTTTGTGGTGAAAGCAGGCTGGCCCACAGCAGATTCTCCAGATCTGCAACTCAAGAGTGCCGATAAGTATTTGCAAGATTCCATTGTGTTGATGAGAAAGCTGCTCCAGAAGCAGATTTTGGGATCAAAGAAAGCTAATAAGAAAGGTGCTCCTGTTACATCGCTAACTGAGGACAAGTTAAAAGGCCTAATCTTTGTGAATGAGCAATTTGAAGGATGGCAAGCAGAGTGTTTGCAGATTCTCCAAAGCAAGTTCGACAATAAGACCCATACTTTTGCATCAGACGGGGAGATAATGAACGCATTGCAGGAGAGCACTGTTGGTCAGGCAGCAGACTTTAAACAGATCCAGAAACGTTGTATGCCATTCTTGACGTTCAAGAAGGATGAGGCTATTAAAATTGGTGCCCAAGTCCTGGATTTGAAGCTGCCCTTTGGAGAGATTCAGGTCCTTAAGGAGAACTTGGACTTGATCAAAAGACAACTTGGTCTTGAAGAGGTAGAAGTCTTGTCGGCCACTGATCCTGATGCTTATGTTCAAGCTGGTCCTCATGCATCCCTGCTAAAGCAGAATCCTCCATCCCCTGGAAATCCGACTGCCATCTTCCTGTCAAGGTGAAGGAACTTTGTCATTTTAGCATGCTATGTTACATCGAGGAAATGTTTTTTTGTTGGACTATTTGGTATCAGGCGTTCTAAATTGGTGTTTTCTCTCTGCATCTGTGTTTAATTGGGTGTTGAATAGCGAATGGTCACTTATGCTTAAATAAAAATTGAGTTTATTACTGTATGCAGGTAAAACATTTTATTGCTGTCTTCCAGAAATATTGCATCAAAATGCTGTTGTGACATGTCTTTGCTAACCTATGTGTTTTTCCTATTTTGTTTTGCATTTAAAGTCAAAGATTTTTTTTTTCTTTTGATATTTTCTTCTATCAGTTTTGCTTATTCATTCCTATTTGTTTTTTTAAATTCCAACATTATTGACCTGGTTCTTACTGTTAATCGCTCGCAATTGTACGAAAAAACACCAATGGTGTTTCAAAAGCAAGAAAAAGAACAGGTTTCCAGTTCAGTTTACTGAGTGATCAGTGCTTGCATTGTCGCAATCCGGTTTCTAATGATGATGTGGTAGGAATCGTTTTCTATTGGTCATCCAAATAAAACATTAATAAAAAAAATTGAGTAAAAAAATTCTTGTTTTGTTACCATTTGAATTTAACATGGTAGTGCATGGAAAACATAGCTTAAGACAAATGATTTTTACTTAAACATTTCTACCACTACAAAAGGTTTTATAAGAATTTCATTTTTTTTATAGAAGAATTAAAAGAATTCTATTGTATTGTCATTACTCTTTCAATCTCATTTTTTTTTCAAAATTATATATTTTTTTAAAAACCTAAAATTCTTAATTTTTTTATATTCCAAACTTTTTTTTTCATAATTTTTTATTTTTTGATATTAAAAACTAGGAATTATATATTTTACAAAAAATTAAAGTTAATAATGCATGTTAAATCTCTCTTTTTTTTTAATTCCAAAAAACAAATAAGAACATAAAATATGAAACAGGAGTATCAAATATGAAAAAAAAAGTTGTTAAATGAAAAAAAATGCACTTTCAATTGTTATATTGTTTAAAAAAGTGTTTATTGAACGAGTAAGTACAAGCGTATAACCCTACTACTTTAGGTAATTGCAAAAATATTCCTCAATATAATGAAATTAGACATTCACCCCACAGGAACGTATTTGACATGTAAAAGAAAATCTTTCAGTTCTAGAAAAAGAAAAAATAATGGACCGTTAAAACTTCCTCTTTTCTTGCCTTAATTATCGGATCCTTTGGTTTACCATTTTTCACTTCAAATGCGTCCCCGTAAACTATTCCAATTTCCCACATTTTCGTGGAAAACTAATCACCATTTTCTCATCCTTTTTCATTTTGTGTCACGGAACAATGCTTGTTTTTCTTACCTTTTACCGAAAAACAGAGTCTTCTCTTTGATCAACCTGGTAAGTTTTAAGTTCAACTCTTAAGTTTTTTGTATTTGTTTCTTTTAATATGGATTGATTTATCTTTCTTTTTCTTTTTGCTTTCAATTTGTTTATTGCAGTCAATATGAATAGGAGGAAGTTAGCATACGAGAGACATCAGACCACGGTGGACTCGGAGACGCCAGGGACGCCGGCATCACCACTGACATCATCGTCGCCGATACACCGCCACGGACGGTCGCGATCAAGCTACGCAAGCGTGGGGAACATGAAGAAAGCGCAAACGAAAGCGGCGGCGCAAAGGCTGGCGGCCGTTATGGCACACCAGCAAAACGTGGAGGGTGATGATGATGACCAGCTTGATTATAATAACATTAATGGCACGGGAGGCATTGGACTCGCTGGTGGAAGAGCAACTCGTGCTCGTTCTCCTATGGTAATTTAATGTTACGTGATCTCAGGGGTAGGGTGTCGGATACAAGTATGTGTTCGAAACATGATGGTTTTGACAATTTTTACATTAATTTTGAGATTAAAGCTTCATATCAGTATGAATAATGAACTGTTTAAGAAGTGAAACAATGGATTAAAATATCTTTATATGTTTTTTTTAAACTTACCCCATTATCAGTTCTGTCATAGGCACTTTTCTTTAATGGGCATTTTCAACACTATTTTGCTATGCAAGAGCTTGGCATTGGAAATAAATAATTCTTACTTCTTACCAGCTGGGTTTAACTTTGTAAAATCCAGAACAAAAACATGGCTCAAAGCGAGTTCCACAGGCAATGACACAACAACTAGCTGATGAGGACAATGATGAGGATGACATTTTAGTGACTGGCACGCCAAGTATAGGGCTTGGTGGTGGAAGAGCAATGCAGTCACGCTCTCCTATGGTAATTATATCGAATTATCTAATACTAGGAATTTGGTTTAGGTTGACCTATGCTATGTTAGTTAAGTGAGAGGTAAGAGAAAAAAGAGCGAGTTGAATTAGGCAAGTTAAAAGACACTTTCCTTAGCTATGATCATGACTCAATTAAGTATTAAATTCTCTTATGCTGCTCTAAACTCTAAATTTGTTCATGGTTGCATGTGGTAGAGTTATGACTTATGACATTGCAAGTCAATTTATTCTTACTTGGACTTGCATTGTAAAATCCAGCACAAAAACATGCCTCAAAGGCGAGCTCCAGTAGTGATGACACAACAACCAGCTGATGAGGATGGACTTTTAGTCAGTGGCACAGCTAGCATAGGTCTCGCTGGTGGAAGGGCAATGCGGTCACAGTCTCCTGCAGTAATTATCTAACACAAATTTGGTTTTAGCTATACCAGCTGCATGTGTGTCAAAGTGAGACGCACAAACTTGTTGTAGTTCAATAAATTCCATTTGACAAGTTAAAATAACACTTCTCTATAAAAGATTTTTTTGACCACTATTAACTGTATTATCAATTTGTCATGCATTGTAATGTATTTCAAACTCTCTTATGCTGCTCTAAAGCTTGTTCATGTTAGCATGCTAGCTGGTTTTACATTGCAAATAAATATGTTCTTACTGCAAGTTATCTTGTAAAACCCAGAACAAAAACATAGCTCAAAGGCGAGCACCACAACAACCATCTGATGAGGACAATGATGATGATGACCTTTTAGTGAGTGGTACCTCAAGCATAGGGCTCGCAGGTGGAAGGGCTATGCAGTCACGCTCTCCTGCGGTAATTATATGACTATCTGATTTAGATAGACATGTTTGTCTAGTGAGCCTCAGGGAAAGAAAATGAATGCAATTAGACAAGTTAAATTCTTAGTTTGAGCTACATTTATAACAAATTTTAAATTCTCTGGACATATAATAGGTTTTATCTAAAATTGCTCAAGTTGTTTAAGTTTCAGACTTAAAATTTTAAATTTATCTTTTTGTCATTTTAACTTTTGGAGCTATGAAAGTACTGTGTTTTTATAAGCTTGGCTTGAGCTGTCTCTGATAAATGTAACATTTTGTCAACACGGTATGAAATGGAACGTGAGAGTGTGAACAAGATAAGTCGTAAGCTAATAATTGAGTGACCTGTTCATGCATGCTTGAGCACTGGAAATCAGTAATTGACTGATTTAGTCTTTAAGGACTCCGAATATTCCTTAATGCATTATTACTTATTACAAAGAGAAGTGTATTATTCAGTTGACTAGTTGTTTGGTAACCATATGGGTCTTGCGTGCAAAATTACTTATTTGATTTTCTTATCAGTACAAATTTGGTGATTTGAACATATTGTTGTTTATAATTGGGTTGCTGCTTGAAATGTGTTTAGGGAAGAAAGTTTAATATTAAGTTGCAAAGGAATTTGTTGAATAAGATAATTCATAGATGTCTAATCGTTAGTTTGTAACTTCTGTGACTTACACATTACATGCAAAAGCCTGATGCTACCAACAAATATGTTCTCAGTGGACTAGCACTGTATAATTTTGCAGACTAAAAACATAACTCAGAAGCGGCTGCCACAAGTTACTACACGGAAAGCATCTGATAAGGGCGATCATGAGGATGACCTTTTAGTTAGTGGCAGAGCAAGCATTGGTATTGCTCGTGGTAGGGCAATGCAGTCACGCCCTTCTATGGTAATTATGTGATTTCCTATTATGAATTTGTTTTAGCTATTTCTTGCTTGTCATGCTAATGTGAGAGAAGAAGCATGAGCTTGAGCAGACAAGTTATGATGTGAGTTTAAGGAAAAGATTTACGGTTAATGCTGGAGTTTTATGCTACTGAGAAATGCATTCTTATATGGACTTCCATTCGTAAACACAGGCCAAAACTATGGCTCAAAGGCCTGTGCAACAAGTAGCACAGCAACCAGGTGATGAGGACAATGATGTGGATGACCTTGCAAATAATAATAGTTCAGCGAGTGGCACAGCAACCATTGGACTTGCTTGTGGAAAAGCAATACGTTCATCTTCTCCCTCAGTAATTTGTCTGTTAACTGAGTATGCTCAGTTATCTAAATTTTTTGTTTGTTTAATGCTTATATTACTTATGAATGTAATTCTTACTTGTAAGTTTAAATTTGCTATTAGTCAGTTCATATCAATCAGGATCAACCACCATCTACACGTTCCACACCAGGCAGTCAAACCTCTCTATCTGTCAACAATATGGAGCAACCATTATCATCTTATTCAAGTGGCCAACCATCTCACTCTATCAGCTCTGTGGAGCAACCCATGTCTCCTTATTCCATTTCAGGCGGACAACCATCTCTGCAGGGTTCTGCAGAACAGCCAACTGCTGGCCGGTTATGTCCATTAACCAGATCCATAGAGCAACCTTTATCTGCTCGTTCCACAGCATCAGGTCGCCAACATTTAGGAGTCAAGGCAGTTCCTGTGATACCTCATACAGTGCCTATGCCACTGAAGCCAACCTCATCTGTTAGTTCAACAGAGGCTTCAACTGATAATCGGAGAGATAAACGGTATATTATAGCTCTAAGCTGGTGTGATTTCAGTTTGAAGGATGAAGTTATCATCCATATCGTAATCCCCTCCAACTTTTTTCTTTCGTCACCCTTATTTTTTTTTGTTAGTTTTATACATATAATGTGAATTTTCCCTTTTAACTTGGTCTTTGAAGTTTTAGATATATTAGAAAGAGAATGAGGAAATCTGCCATCAAATGGAGCAACTTCTCTGATTCGTGATTTAGAAGCGATTGAGTGTCATAAATTTAAACAACATTAAGAACATTCTTATATAACATAGTCACAAGATAATAGATATATATGAGTAATTCAGGTCCTTATGTTTTCATCTCTACAGTAAGAAAGGCTTTGTTGCTGCTCTTCCAGTATTCAAGAATGCATAATGCCCTCCCCTGGAAGTATTTAAGCCCATCACCGTCATGCGTTTTTCTCAATTAATAATGTTAGGGTCTCAAGATCCTGGGATCATGTAAAATGCCCATTGCACTGGTTTAGGTTCTTTCTTTGTTTCATCTATAGTGCTCTAAAATTTATAGTGTAAGCAGATTGTCTTCAGATTTTGGGAGTATGAGCAGTTTGAAAGATAGGGGAAGACAGCAGTCTACTTCTGCTTTACAAGATGAGGTACAGTCACGTTAAGCTAAATATGTGTTTCCTTCTAGCATATATTAGTTGCAATTTTATTTTTTTCTTTTTTGTTTCTAAGGAATTATTTGAAAGCAGGTGTATAGGTCATCATATCTTCTTTTTCAAAAACCTAATTAATTTGTTCAAGTCTGAACACTTCAATTTTCAGTCTATGTGATCAAACACATGAAGAAGCTTAGGAAAATGTTTATTTTTATCTTCCAGTAATGTGGTGTGAATTTCATGGCAGCTTGATATGCTACAGGATGAAAATGAAAGTTTAATTGAAAAGGTGATTCCAGCAACTTTTTTCTTCTTTGTTATGTAACTTGTTCTATTGTTGTATCTAGTAAAGTTGTATGAAAAGTTTTATTTGGAAAATGATATTGTATTCATGCACATCAATTTGGCTCTCCATCATCTTCAAGCACTGAGCCAATATCCTAAATTGTTGCAACAGTTATCTTCAAATGAACGGGCATAATCTATCTGAATACTGGCATTTGGATATAACTTTTGCAACAACCATTTTCTCCCAAAAACTCTGATGTAATTAGGTTAGCCAACTAAGTGCTTTGGCCTACGGAAAATGTTAATAATAGTCTTATACTGTTATTTTTGCATGATATTTGCCTTCCCAGCTTCAACTTGCAGAGGAGAGGTGTGAGGAAGCAAGAAGCAAGAGCTCAGCAGCTTGAGAAACAGGTGAACTTTTCTCAGTTTAAAGAAAACTAAACAAGAGAAATGTAAATGAACTTTATACCGCTCCAGCAAGCAAAATTATGTATTTGTTTACTTGATTCATAACATGTTCAATATAGATTGCTAATCTTGGAGAAGGTGTAACTTTAGAAGCACGTCTTTTAAGCAGGCAAGTTTCATGGCTTACAAGAATTTAATGTTATATTGTGATTTATTTTTCCTTTTTCTTATGCGCTATTTGTCTTCCTCTTCAGAAAGGAGGCAGCCCTGCAGGAAAGGGAGGTTTGTACTTCTAAAGAGTGCCACTCTTTTCTTGTCTCAAACTAATCTGCATGTGTTATCAGTCTCATTATGCATGGAAAATTACATAATACTCGATAACTATGAGCCTTAAAAGACATTCTTTTGTCTTGTAAGTGTGTGTTTACTGAGTTTATTTATGCTTATTTCTGCATCTTTTTATGCATCTCTCTTTGTGAGATGGTACTGATTTCATGCATAGAGAGGTTTATTATATACACCTGAAGCGAACTTCCTCAATAGCAAGGGAAGTTATCTTCTCCAAAACACTTTCTGCAATCTCGAATAAGAATAATTCATCCATATCTGAACTCTGAAATCAAAGAAAAGACGAAGGGTATTAAGTTAAAAGACAGGTCAACGCTCTCTTTTTCTCTGAGCAGTTCATTGACTTTGCCCTTGAGCCAGCCAATTGATCTTCATATATAGCTTTCCAAGATGTATATATTTTCGAATAATTTATTCATTTGGCGAAAACTGTACACAAACGACTAGACGTTGACGGTCCATCCACTCCCCAACAAGTTAATAAGATTTCTATCTATCAAATTTCTTAATATTGTGGAACTAATCAATTTAAAAAAAAAAAAAAAAATTCGACGAAGTCTTCCTCTTTCACGCTAAGTTAATAAGAGGATTTTGATTACTATTCTACTTCTTTGTGTTAAAGTTAATTTGAATGAATGATAAGGATGATTTTGATTAAATTAAAAATATTAATAAAAGTAAAAATAATTATAATAATAATAATAAGAGTAAAAATAGTTGTGAGATATGTGTTTGAATAAAACAAAAATATTAAATATAAATTAAGTTATAGTGAGAATAAAAAATCATATAGGATATTAAATTAAAAATTATATTTAATAAAAAATTTTAAAATTTTAAAATTTATAAAATTAATAAATAATTATAAATTTATTCAAATAATTTATGTCAAATAATAATTTATTAATAAATAATTGATAATTAATAAAAATAATAATTTATCAAATAATAATTTTATTATATTAAATAAAAAAAAAGGTTAAATTATAAAAATATTTTTTTTTGTCTCTTCAATACAATTAAAAAGGTAAAAAAAAAAAAATGCAATCGAGCGTTCATCCACTAAAACCAAAAAATTCAATGAGTAAAAGTTGATTTCGTGATGGACATCGAATTGCGTGTTCAATGCATTTGCACAAATTTTCATGCCAGTGTATTTACGTTAGGAATGCTTTTGAATCCAAATCGCGATTTAACTTATAGTCACATTTTATGGGCCTCCTCGATAGACAATAATGGATGAATTTATGCGAAATGGAGATACTTGAATGAGATAATCGTTTAATCAATGAATCAGAACACGACAAACAGCTGAAGCAGAGTGTATAAAAAGATATAAGTCTTATACTTTAACATCGAAAAATTTTATAAAATTATATTTAGGTGATAAAATAATTTATATCTTAGAGATTTTAATTAATTTTAAACAAAATAAATTTTTTTTAAATAAAAAATCAGATCGAAAGTGGATTGGATTTCCTTTTTCTGTTTTTTTTCTTTAAATTGGGTTTGAGTTGAAGTTGGATTTTAAGTTGTTCCAACTCCACTAGATGCATGTATATAAAAAATATTTTTATTATTTATTTACTTTTATGTTTATATATATTATATTAATAAAATAATTATTTAATATTTTAATTTAAGGTATTGATTTAATAAGAATTTTATATTATATATAACTAAGATATATATTTATATTTAGAAATAATATTTTATGAATATTGTATTAAATTAAATTATTATATTAATTTTGAATAGAAACAAATTGGTTGCAATTTATAAATATACTAATCGAATTGAATAAAATAATATTTTGATGTCAAATAAAATTAAAATTGAGTGTAAAAATTAAAAAATTGAATTGAAATTAAATAAAATAAAAATTCACATTGATTTAATCCGTTATCATCCTTCCTTATGCTAATTACAAAAATATGGGAACACTCACAATTAATGGGTCAATTCCAAGGATGTTTACATCAAGTAATGCAGATACATCATCTAATGAAAGGTGCAATAGCACAATGATGGTATTAGACTTAGATTTAGATGGACCGCAGAGTGATGATAGTGTAATAACTCTATCATTTTATTTAATGAAAGATGCAATAACACTATCGTTTTATTTAATGAAAACGACATTTTTGGTTTGTCTGCCATGCCCATTTCAAAGGAAAGGAAACATGAAGGAAACAGCTAGCTATATATGAAAAAGAACCTAACCATTCAAGAGAGGTACCAAGTGGGCATTGTAACTTTAAAACAACCTAAACAATTTTTTTTCTCAATTTGTTTTTCTGATGTTCTCTTTTTTTCCCCATTTTTTCTTTAAATGTGATTTGCTTGTTATAGGTGTTGGAAAAGGTTATGATGTCTGCATGCGTGAATTTTTGGATTGATTTGAGTTTTAGTAAATTTTGATTGTTGTTTTCTTTGTTTTTCCACCGTTCATTCTTTTTCAGACTCAATCTTTCTGTTTTTTTTTTCTCCTTCCAACATATTTTTTTTTTTTTGCAAAAAGTCAGTATTGACATAAAGTTGAATAAATGATGAATCTCCACCCATAGTGTCACCCAACTATGCATCTCTAGTTGAGTTTCATTTTATGATAGATAATAGATAGATGACATATTCTTATTCTCAACTTGCTTTGCTAGTTGGAACATATAAAATGGTACAAATTTCAAGTATTCATATTTCTGGTTATACGCAGCCATACATTTTATAGTATATTTCCATAAAGTCCATAATTGAAGCCAACAAATCATTGGCACAAAGACTCTAAATCAAACAAAGTAAAAACTAAAAAGCTTCCAGCTAGCGCTAGCCTCTATACTGATAGGCTTTGGTTCAATCATCCATCATGACAGCTGCATGCAGTAGTTCAAAACTAAATGAAATGAGTTAAAAATACAACTCAAAGTAATTTCGAGCAATGTTCCAAAAAAAAAAAAGAAGCTAAGTTCGAATGAATCTTGTGGAAATGGGTGGATTGAAGTCTCACATGCCGCTCATTTATTCTCACCAAAGCATCGACTTCAAAATTTACCTGCGATCAAAGGTACAAATCATTAAAATTTGCAAATGTTGTATGCATAATACATGCGTAGAGAGGAACTTATATGGTCAATTTTAACTAGCAATGAAGAGATAAAAGTTAAAGAAATTAATAAGTACCACAAACCATACCTGGTAAATCTTCTGAACTTAAATATGAACCTCTTGGATGTGTGCTATCTTAGACCAACCAGCACCCACTTCGGGTTGATATTTTTCACTCAACGTAGGACATTTTCGAATCTGTAGTTGGGTAAGCAAGGTGAGGCGATCCAAACCATCCGGAAGAGAGGATAATTTTGGGCAGTCAAGAATCTCAAGTTTTTGAAGTGATGACAGATTTTGTAGCCATTCCGGTAGTATCTCAAAGTTGGGACAGCGGTGAATTTTTATAAGTTGTAAAGTGCTAGCAGATCTATCAAGAAGCAATCGCGGTAGATCCTCCAACTTTGGTGCACCTCGTATTTCCAATTGCTAAAGGCACAGGCGAAGGTCCCAGTCTTCTCTTTCTTCCAGTTCCATGCGTAAATTGATTATTGGGCATTCAACTATAGTAATACACTCCAGCTTGGTTAGAAATTTCAGACTTCGTGGTAGTGAGACTAGTTTAGAGCAACATTTTATAGTCAAACTTCGAAGTGATGTCAGGAAGTGATGTCAGGTGTTGCATCCCTTCAAACAAATATTCCCGCAACTCACATCCGTAGCAGTACAAGAACTGAAGAGAACTCCAACATCCTGGTGGAATCTCACTTATATGCGTAGTATCTCTTTGGATTTGCTTTGAATCTTATAATTACATATCGAAAGTTATAAGAGTTTTGAGTTTATCTTATATCCCATATCGAGAGCTTAATAAAGTTATAACAAATTTTATCCTTATAAATAAAATGTTTTAGTTTTGGTTTGAGAGTCTTAGAGAGTTAGACACCAAAAGAATAGTTACGTAAGTAGGTTATTAAAATGGTATAATTAAGTTTTGGGTAAAGTTTCAAATAAAAAGTTTTTGGAGATTTTTCTCATTTTAAAAGTTTCATAGTTGTAAAAATTTATTGTTAGTTGATTGAGTTTTGAGTAAACCATTTTGATTTGGGTTTAATCAAATATGTTTGTGTTTTTATTTTTGATTTGAGCTTGTTATTTTGTGTATGTGGGTGCTGTGTGTGGGTGTTAATTTCTCATGAGTATCCCCGATTAGATCTAGAAACCTGAGATTGACCAAACTTTGCAAATTGCGAGGCAGTTGCAATTGGCAATCAATATCCAACAATCTTAATGTCAACAAGCTTTGACGCTTATAGATAGAACGAGGAAACTTGCTCATTCTATAACACCTGGATAAGTCAAGATATCTTAAATGCTTCAAGGTGCCAACAGAATTGGGCAATACTTCCAAAAATGAATAGAAGAGATCAAGTAGCCGCAGGAACTTGAAATTCAAGATGGAAGCATTCACAAAATGTTCCTCAATTATCCTATTTCTTCCTGAAGAAGGTAGGATCACCAATGTCCGCACACCATTTAAATTCTTCAAAAATGACTGTGGAGCCCTCAATGGATTATCACCCGAAAATGACAGATGTCGAATATGATCAGCGGTATTTATTGTATGAAGATAAATTGTTAAACAGTCATCTTGAGACACATTTGACAAGAGATCATGTATTAGGTCATGGATTTTAAATGTGTAATATGTATATTCAACCTCGACATCTTGGACAAAACCCAACGACCATAATTCTTTGAAATATTGTAACCCAACATCTTCCCACTCTTCGTTTTGCTTGGGGCTTTCAGTAAGTCCAATGGCCATCCAGAATTGGACGATATAATCAGTATCATAAATAGTATCCTTTGGAAACAATGACAAACGAGTTAGGCACCTTTGCAAATGAGATGGCAAATGATTATAACTCAATTTCAGCATAGGTAGAATGTCATTTTCATTTTGATCAAGTTTCCATATGTCGTTATCTTTGATAAATTCCCATTCATGTCGCTCAGTTTTCAGTAGAGCAAGCTCCCTAAAGTTCTCACTGCCAATGGAACCCCTTTGCATTTTTTCACAATTTCATCACCAATTCTCATAAGGTTTGGATATATTTTCTCATCTCCTTCCCTAAATGCCCATTTTACAAACAAAGATAGACAATCTTAGTGACTAAGACCTTTCAAGTTGTACGGAGCAATAGTACCCACTATCGAAGCAACTTTTGAACTCCGGTTAGTCACAATGATTTTACTTTGTTGAAAGTTACCCATTGTTATCAGTAAATCTCTCAGTTCCATCCATTTTACATGATCTTCGTTCCATACATCATCTAAAATGAGTAAAAAAGTTTTACCATTTAAAAGCATTCGCAAATGAGTTTGCAATGCATTAACTGGTAAACCATTACATCTTTCTCCCGTAATGGAGTAAATAACATCACAAAGCAACCTAGCAAGATCAAACTCATCCGACACACAACCATATTTTCAAGGGAAAGACCCTAGTGATCCTTTCATCGTTGTACACAAGTTGAGCAAGCGTGGTCTTCCCTAAACCTCCGATTCCAACTATAGGGATGACGGGGATATTTTCAGTATCGATTGGCTTGACTAAAAGATCTATGATGTTTTCTTTGTCTCAATTGTGACCTATCACATTAAAAGGTATCACAAAGCAGTGGGTATCCATGAGAATAACACGCCGGTTCTCAACTTTCTCTTCAAGTCCAAGATTAAATTTTTTGAAATCACTAGCTATCGCATCTAGCTTTTCATTGATCTTTTTGATTTTATGACTCATCCTCAAAGGGAATGCAAATGGAATAGAGAGAGCAGGTAATCGTACTAATTTGTTGGTGGCGCTTCCACGATTGATCAACTCCTTTCGCAACGCTTCACACCTGAATTCATCAAGCACATCCTCAGCATCATATAAGACGTCTCTAAGCTTCCCCAAACTAAGTAGCAACGTCTCGTTCTGGTGCTGCCATTTTTCAGCATCTAACAGCACAGCATTATGTAGGTCATGGTTTCCTTAAGCCTTCTCAAATCACTACTGACATTCCAAAGCGATATAGTTTCTTTGGCAGCCAGGGATACTATCTTTTCCAAAATCTGTTCTGCAACGATGGCCAGAAATGATTCCGCCATAATTAAACTCTGGAGAGGTAATCAAAGGTAAATGACAATTGAGTATAGTATTTATAATGAAGTTTGTTTTCGGGAAATTACACAAGTGAGTTTAGAGTAAATATTTTATTTTAGCAGCCATCAGTACTTTTATACTTGTGGTTTGGTTGATGATCAGCTACATCACCACCAAAAGAACAAAAAAAAAAAAAAAGCTTTCAATGTTTGCACAATGAAAAATGGATGCTTTCCAGGAATCACAGCATCCACCCTATCGTAACGCGAGGGACACCCATGGACACGCAAAAAAAAAAAAAAATCAGTGAGTGTATCGACGGACACGAAACGAAATGCATTTTGCTTGAAAATTTTTTTTAAAGCCGAACTGATAAAAAACTAAACGACTGATGGATTCCATATTTAGATTTAAGCATCACCTAGTGGAAATAATATGGGTAATGAACTTAATTTTATTGCAATTAAGAATTTTTAAGTGTGGTCTTAAACTTAATTCAATTATTTAATATGGGTATAATGTAAATTTTTATTTTGGGTCTTATTTACATTGAATATTTTTACATAGGTAGTATTTCTTCCATTTTTTTTTTCATTTTTGAGTCGTTTCAAGATATAGATTTTTCAAAATATCTGAATACCTTTTATTTTATCTTTATACTTAAAATTTATTTTTTGACAATAAAAAATATGATACATCAATATTATAAAAAATTAAAATTATAATATTAAATACAAAAATTAGAATTTTTTAAAACAAATAAATTGAGAGAAGAAAGAATATATAAAAATATTTTTATTATCATTAGTATCGTGTTGTATGAATACCTCGTAGAGTTTCACTTTGATGCAATAAATTATTCAATTTACTGATAGTTGATAAAATTTTCAAATAAATATCTATTTTCTTTCACACGTTCTCCCGTCGTGTAAAACAAGTAAAAGTGACCTTTTATAAGATTTACACATGACTTAGGGGTGCATTGATTTGTTATAATTAAACTGTTATGCAGCACGGATGGTTAACTTTAAGTAAAGTTTTAGTTTTTGAGTTCTGTAAATAAAAAAATAATTTTGAAAGAACTTACGATTTTTGATTTAGTTTGATTCTGAATTAATCGAGATTCAAAATTATTATCGAACGTCGAAAAATTTCAAAAAAAAAAAAACTGTTATGCGACAACCTCCAAGTAAAGTTCTGATTTTATTTAGAACCAATGCTTTTTAAATGAGATAATATCATTCACCCCGAGGAAACAATAACTGAATATAGAACACTGAAATGAATACTGAAGTAGATTACGCAAACAAATACATATTCTAGGTACATGGGGTCAAACAATGTTACAAACATGAACTACAATCAATACGCAACATCAAAGCAACAAATGTTACATCAAACCAAGAGACTTGATATCTGAAGCAAACCAAGAAAAAGCCCACAATGGGATACAGATAAACTACGAGCAATTTAAAACAAACTAGTCATAACACAACAAACACATGATTAAGTATGTCTGGTACATAATATCACAACAAAATCTTACAGAATAGCACTGTTAATTACATTACATCTGAAACAAATTAAAATCACATTCATTTATTACAACAATAATATTCCATAAAGTCCTTAATTGAAGGCATCTTAACAACAGCAAAAAGACTGTAAATCAAACAAAGTAAAATGCTTACTGCTAGCCTTCCATACCCAACACGCCTTCCCTGAATTTTCCATCTTGAGAGCTGCTTGCATTGGTTAAAACTAAATGAATTAAAAATACAGCTAAAATGCAATTCCTATAGGTTTAATATATAAATAAACATCTTGAGTAATTTTGCCGACTTAGTCTGCTCCAATGTACCAAATACATATATACATATATATATACATACATACATACATTTTGTAAACTTTTCATTCTAATAAAATCTATTTAATTTTGCATAAAAAATACAGACATGCATACATAAAGATGTATATATTTGATTTAATATAAAAATGTATATATATATATATATAAAACTCAATTCGTAGAAGTCTGACATATAAAATCTTGCTGATGAACTTTAATTATAGTAGAATGCTATGGATGGGTTGAAGTCTCACCTGCTACTCCTTTATTTTCATCAAAGTATCTAGTTCATAATTTACCTGTGACTTCAAAAATACAGATTATTAAAATTTGCAAAGGTTGTATACATTGAGCAAATTATATGATCATTTTTTTTTTAATTTTTGACTGGAAATTAGAGGACATTTAATCTGAATTCTAGAAATTAAAAGGAAATGCAAACGAAAATGTCATGCATAAGAACATATAGTAGTACTATATAATAAGACCATCCATAATTAATGCTCCATCTCAATTTGGGAATTTTTTTCAGCAGCAATTTTGAAGTGTTTAATTTCAAATCTAAAATATAAAAAATTCATAAAACAGAAATTTCCTCTTTTTTTTTTTTTAAGTTTTTCCCTGAGAGATCAGAAAAGGAGAAAAGAAAAAGAAATAGTATTTCAGAATTATAAAGAAGTACATCGAACAGTGATAGATTAGATTGCTAAATAAATAAATACCCTCTAACGTGACTTGATAATCTTTTGGTCTTCAATATGAACATCGCGGATGTGTGATATCTTGGACCAATCAGCGCCAGCTTCCGGTTGGCAGTTTTCACACAATGTAGGACATTGTTGAAACTTCAGTTGTCTAAGTGCAGTGAGATGGTCTATTCCATCGGGAAGATAGGAAAATTTGGGACAATTAAGAATCTCCAGTCTTTGAAGTGAATTAAGATTTTTTAGCCATTCTGGTAGCATCTCAAAGTTGGGGCAATGCTGGATTTCAATGGATTGCAAACAGCCAACAGATCCCTCAAGAAGCAATCGAGGCAGATCCTCCAAGTTTGGTGCATCACGTAATATCAACTTCTGAAGGCTCAAGTGAAGGTCTTGGTCTTCTCTGCCTTCCGGTTCCGTGCGTAAATTGATCATTGGGAAGGAAACAATTGCAATTTCCTCTAATTTGACTAGGAACTTCAGACTTCGAGGCAGTAAGACAAGTCTATATCATTTCTTCATAGTCAAATTTCTAAGTGATGTTAGGCATTGCATCCCTTCAAACAAACATTCCAGTGTCTTACACTCGTAGAAGAATAAGAACTGAAGCGAACTCCAACTTTGCAATCTGAGACTGATCAATCTTTGCAAATTGTCACGCACTTGCAATTTTGGAACATCAAATAATCTCAATGTCAGCAAGCTCTGGAGCTTATAGATAGACTTAGGAAGCCTAGTCAATCTAATACACCTAGTTAAGTTAAGATACAGTCAATGCTTCAAGGTGCAGATGGATTTTGGTAATACCTCCAACCAGGAATTTTCCAGATCAAGTAGCCGTAGGCAGGGTTTCAAATAGTGGTTGTGTAGTGGCATTGCGGCCGCTATTTTGCGGTTTCGGTAGTCTCCGCCACCGCTACGTACCCGAAATTGGGTTGTAAATGAAATTTACAATCATAATGGCCACGAGCAGCCATTGCAGCCGATCAATCTCGGCCGGATGGGGTGTTTCCTAGCCCCAATAAGTAGGTCTTTCTTTTCATTTTGGATTTCAGAGAGAATTTGACATGAGCTCGTGGAAAAGCTCGGACTTCCCTCTTCATTTCTTGTTTCTTGAAATGGGAAGCTGTGCCCGGTGCGAAGCTCGTTTGTTCCTTTCTTTTTTTGTCGGGTCAAGGAAAATCACTTGTTGGGTTCTTTGCTTGCTTATTCCACTTCTTTCAGTAGGAGGACCG